CCTTAGCTCCACGCGTAAGCCTCCCTCAAAAGGGGGGCCTAGATGCCCCCCACTTCAAAAGTGCATCCAGCTCTAGTAGGAGATCCCCCACCTCCATTTTTCACAAATCCATACGGCACGACATAAAACATAACCTTCGAGACCATCCTGGAAATGCCCCCAGTCATGGTGTTACCATGGCAACACCTCCAAGAAGATGCAAATCCGAGTCTGAACAATTGCTACCTTACACCTCCCCCCCCCATAAAATGATTCCTTTGTAATCGTGCAAACAACTTGAAAAATATCAAGCCCATTAGCCACACAGAACCTATTCTCTTGATTCCTGATTAGTTCCAGCCGCTGCTGCCTGATGCCCCTTCTTTTTGAATAAGGTCCAAGGGAAAAAAATTTCCTTCAACTTTTAATCATCATTCAAGGTTAATTTTCCTGCTGGGCCCTCCCCTCCCCGCCTCGAGCTCGCTTTCCATTTTGTCTTGTTTACGGCATTCTGATAAAATTTTTTTTTGTAATATAAGCAATGTAACATATAGCAAGTACACATTTAAACACATTTAAAGTGTTTTTTTTTAAATCTCAGAGACATAATTAAGAGAAGTAGATAATGATCCTTTTTTAAAAAAAATTGTTATGTTTATTTATATAGCATACACAGACAGCACGGCCTACCTATTTAGTTTTCTGAGACTTTTAACTTGAGTTGTAATGTGCCCAATAAAATTTCAGACAATGATCCCTTCTTTAAAGAAAAAAAAAAAGAGCTTATTGAAAAAAAAAAGGAAGGGCTAGGAACTTGGCACTGTGGAACCCTTCCTTGGTGGGCATGTGTGAGGTGTTGGGTTCAATTCCCACACCAAAGAACAGACAAATAAAACACACACATACACACACACACACACACACACACACACACACACACACACACACACACCAAAACAAAACAAAAAACAAACAAAAGAAAAAACCTCAACCCAAGAAAATCTAACCCCCCCCCAAAAAAAAAATCCCAAACCAAGCTACCTGTGGGCACACAAGTCACAAGTTTGGTAAATACACAGCTACCGCCACATTCCTGACTGGTGCCTGCGTCCTACAATGCCTCAGTGTTAAGTCTCTTCATCCTTTGATGCACCCAATTAATGCCCTTCTGCGCTCTGCTTCCCTCCTAGATCATACAGACTAGAGAGGAGTAGAAAGACACAGTTGCAAGTCTCACAATGTTACTGGGCCCCTCAAGCAAATTGATGAACAAAGGAAGGACAGTGACAGTGACAGCCCTGATATTCTCCATAAAGGATACCTCCTTTTCTCTACACACTTTGGCACCCACTTACCAAGCACCTCAGAATTGGGATTAAGAAGAGTTTACACAGGAGAGGATAGCAATGGGTTAATTTGAATCAACTTTTTTTTCCCTTTTTTCTGATATTGGGGGACTGGTTTTCCAGGTGGGGTGCACAGCAGAAATTCACGGAACCGAGAGCCTAGTACTCCACCGTGCTAAGAATCTTTTCAAATCAGGGAAAAAAAAAAAGGACGGACTCAAGAATTCTGCACGAGAAAATATAATAAAAGGCATTTGAGGGGCTGGAATGATAGCACAGCGGGGAGGGCATTTGTCTTGCACGCGGCCGACCTGGGTTCGATTCCCAGCATCCCCTAGGGTCCCCGGAGCACCGCCAGGAGTGATCCTTGAGTGCAGAGCCAGGAGTCAGCCCTGAGCATCGCTGGGTGTGACAAAAAAAGCCAAAAAAAAAAAAAAAATTAAAAAAAATGACCTTTCACTTGAAAAAAGAAAATCTAAATGCTGTGCATTTTGTTTATTACCGACTGGGATTCTGGGGTTGACGATACCGTTAGTGACGTCTGCCTTTGCACGTAACATGGAGTGCGGGTTTTTAAATTGAGGTTATTCCAGATTCACTCAGTAGAAATATTTTCGTTTTAAAATCGGAATGTTTAAAATACACTGGGAAAAGTACCTTTGAGCCATTTCTTTTTAATTATTTCAAGTTAAGATGAGAAACTCTGGACATAAACTTAAAAGATGTCAGAGAAGCAGCAGTTTCAGTAATACTAGTTTATTTTATTTATTTAGACAATGGCTTTATTTTTATTTATTTTTTGTGCTTTTTGGGTCAGGCGATGCACAGGGGTTACTCCTGGCTCTGCACTCAGGAATTACTACTCCTGGTGGTGCTCAGGGGACCCTATGGGATGCTGGACCCTATGGAATCGAACCCCAGTCGGCCACGGTCAAGGCAACCGCCCTCCCCGCTGTGCTATCGCTCTGGCCCCAGCAATACTAGTTTAAAATAACAGAATAAGAAATATTCATTTAATTTTCGTAGCTCTCAGGGAAAATAATGTTCCTTGAAAGAATTTTTGTGGGGACCACACACCCACTGGTGTGCAGGGGCCACTCAGAAGTACCGAGGTACCCCAAGTGGTACGAGAGCCCCAAGGCCTCCAGTAGGCTAAGCTCCTGGGACTTGCCAGCCCAGATAAATTCTTGTCTTCTGCTCTGCTCTGTTTTTGGACCACACCTCGCAAAATTACTCCTAGTGCTCAGGGACCCTATGGGATGCGGGGGATTGAACCCGGGTTAGCTGCGTGCAAGGCAGACGCCTTCCCTGCTGGACCATCCTCCGGCACCCCCAAGAAACTTTTTTTTTTGCTTTTTGGGTCACACCTGGCGATGCACAGGGGTTACTCCTGGCTCTACACTCAGGAATCACCCCTGGCGGTGCTCAGGGGACCATATGGGATGCTGGGAATGGGAATCGAACCCAGGTCGGCCGCTTGCAAGGCAAACGCCCTACCAGCTGTGCTATTGCTCCAGCCCCTCCAAGAAACTCTTTAAGGGCACCTACAGATGCAGAAGCAAATGCCAGAAACCACCGAAACATGAAAGCCTCGGCTTCCCACTTGAGCGTCAGATTTGGAGTGCTACCAGACTGGAAGTACCTAGACGTTCCGTTTCTTGGTGCGTGATCTGGCAACACGTTAGTGCGCTAATAGTGAACTCGGATAACCGTACTTATTTTCACCTGGGATGAGAGAAAGAAGAGAAGGATCCCTGGGTTTAACGGCATCCAGTTTTCAATCAGGGGCTGGAGTTCGCCATTCTCCTGTCAATCTGGGGCCTGGTGTGAGCCAGGCCCTCCTCACTGAGTCCCGCCTCACGGGGCCACATTCCCAGCCCCTTCAGCAAAAGCCTTGAAGATATATAAACCGTCTTCACTGAGTTGAGTCCTGCCACAGAACTTAGTTCTGAGATACTTAGTGGAGTTCTGCCACAGTACTTAGTTCTGAGGTACTTAGTGGTGTCCTGATACAGTAGTAAAACCACTGGCTATGTGATCACTGCACTAGGCACTTAGTTGAGTCCTGCCACATTACTTAGTTCTGAGGTGTTTAGTTGAGTCCTGACACAGTAGTAAAACCACTAGCTGTATAATCACTGCTCTAGGTACTTGGCTCAGTCCAGACACAGTACTCAGTTCTGAGGTACTTAGCTGAGTCCTGCCACAGTAGTAAAACCACTGGCTGTGTGATCACGGCCGTAGGCACTTAGTTGAGTCCTACCACAGTACTTAGTTCTGAGGTACTTAGTGGAGTCCTGACACAGTAGTAAAACCACTGGCTGGACGATCACTGCTCTAGGTACTTGGCTCAGTCCTGACATAGTACTTAGTTCTGAGGTACTTAGTTCAGCCCAGACACAGTACTCAGTTCTGAGGTACTTAATTGAGTCCTGCTACAGTACTCAGAGCTGAGTCCTGGCACAGTAGTAAAACCACTGGCTGTGTGATCACGGCACTAGGTACTTAGTTGAGTCCCGCCATAGTACTTAGTTCTGAGGTACTTAGTTGAGTCCTGCCGCAGTATTCAGTTCTGAGGTACTTAGCTGAGTCCTGATACAGTAGTAAAACCACTAGCTGTGTGATCCCGGCACTGGGTACTTAGTTGAGTCCTGCCACAGTACTCAGTTCTAAGGTACTTAGCTCAGTCCTGACGCAGTAGTAAAGCCACCGGCTGTGTGATCACGGCACTAGGAGAATCCACAGCGAAACGCGGAAGGACCGTGATCAGCTGGAGGGAATCACAAGGTCTGATCAAAGAAACCCGACAGACTCTTTCATGCCTCAGACACACTTTACAGAAATAGCAATTCTAGAACGGCAGCCGAGGCTCTTACAAATAGACCATCTGAACTTAAAAAAAAAAAAAAAAGAACAAAAAAAAACGAAGAAAAGAAAAAAAATCACTGGAAAGACATTTACCAAAGCACTTAAAAATAATTCTGAAATTTCAATTAGGACCGTCCTCACCACCCACACATGACAAGCGGCGGGGGGCCTGGAGGCGTGGGCGAGCCTGAGCAGACAAAGGCGGAGAGGAAGTGGGGCGTGTGATTGACAGTTCTTAGAAAAAGGTTAAAAACTCAAAAGGAGTGGCTGCCTGGAGTTCAGAGCCTAAAAGCTTCTTTTTTTTCCCCTCTTCCTCACAGAAGAGCAGTCTCCAGCACAGAACCAACCGGTTGCCATGGAGATACAAAAAAAAAGAGAGATGAGAGATGAGAGAACTCAATTTGCAGTTAAATGGGCTGGAAATAATTCTTACTACTCGGTGAAGGGAAAAGATAAAAAGCATACATGACTGTCACAGGAAATCTTTTTCACCTAGCGTCTCCCAACAGTATTACGAACAAGAAGTGCCTTAAGAAAAAAAAAAACAACAGCAAGGGCTGGAACGAGAGGACAGAGGGGAGGGCCTCTGCCTTGTACGTGGTCGATCCGGGTTCGACCCCCGGCATCCCATAGGGTCCCCCGAGCACCACCAGGAGTGATCCCTGAGTGCAGAGCCAGGGGTCAGCCCTGAGTATTGCTGGGTGGGACCCCAAAAACAAAAAACCAAACGAAAAAACCCCCAACAAAACCAATACCCCCCAAAACCTATAACCCTGCGTGGCAGCACCTCCGCCCGCCCGAGCCTACCTTTGTGGGTGCTGTACAGGGCTGCAAAAGTCACCGTGAAGAAGGTCGTGGAGTACTTGCCGGCGTTGACCAAGTGGGGAAAGGCCCTCCGGGTGTCCCGGTACCGGCGCAGGCACTGGATGAAGCGCAGCCATGCTGGGATGCACTGCACGATGGCACGGACGCCGTACGAGTACTTGTGGCAGATTTCCAGGTCTGTGGAGATGCCAAGGGGGGGGGGGGGGGGGGGGAGAGAATGTATCACGGTATCACATGGCCTGCCCAGGCGTTGTGGCCACAGCCTAGGCCTCTGGAGAGCCCGAGAGAGCAAGGCTTGCAAGCTGGAGTGTACTGCCTCTGTGAATGAGGTTGAACTGGAGCACTACCTCTCTGTGAGTGAGGGCAAACTGGAGCACTGCCTCTGTGAGTGATGTCGAACTGGAGCACTGTCTCTGCGAGTGAGTTCGAACTGCAGTACTGCCTCCCTGTGAGTGAGGTCGAACTGGAATACTGCCTGTGAGTGAAGTAGAACTGGAGTACTGCTTCTGTGAGTGAGGTCAAACTGGCGCACTGCCTCTGTGAGTGAGGTCGAACTGGAGCACTGCCTCTCTGCCAATGAGATCGAACAGGAGTACTGCCTCTCTGTGAGTGAGGTCGCCTGCTGGGGAACCCCGCTGTGTGGGAAAGGAAGGAGACACCCCCCTCGAAAGGGGGCAGGGCCAAAGGAGGGGGTGCTGGGTGAGGAAACAGCCCGTGTGAAACCGGCCGGGTGACTTGGGCCAACTCTGACCAAACCATGAGCTTCCCCGGGAGCTGTTCGTTTAGAGGGTTTTCTCCCCTCTTTAAGGATAGCACCAGGGCTGAAGTGATAGCACAGCAAGGAGGGCATTGGCCTTGCACCGTCTGCTCTGGGTTCGATCCCCGGCATCTCACAGGGTTACCCCGAGCACTGACAGGAGTGATTTCTGAGTGCAGAGCCAGGAGTAACCCCTGTACACCATCAGGTGTGACCGAAAAACAAAAAAAGAAGAGCACCAAGGCTTCCAGGGGTCCCCATAGGTTGTGCTCTTGACCTCAGTAACAGGAAGAGGCAGCAAAGTAGTTCCACCCCTTGGACCCCCCAGCCCGGGGTCTCGGCCCATAGAATGAATGAGGGGGACAAATAGGGAGGGGCTGGTATTTTGGGGGGACAAAGGGGCAGTTGTAATGTGACCAATCTGGGTGCTGTGTGCTCCAGTGTCGGTTGCAGGTCACGTTTGACACTGTCTGCGTTTGTTTGGCCACTAAGGCAAAGCTCACTAACACCTCAGACTCGTGGCCTAAACGGAGCCAAAACGCAGCGCAGACCCTAGTCAGAATCAAGAATAACCTGGAATGACTTTCTCAAAGCACTCGACAGCACTTTGAAACAGTCAGCATTTTTAAAACTCATTTATTTTTTGCCTTTTGTTTGGGGGACGGGGGGGAGTGTTCACACCCAGCGATGCTCAGGGCTGACTCCTGGCGGTGCTCGGGGGACCCTATGGGATGCCGGGGATTGAACCCACGTCAGCCTCGTGCAAGGCCAGTGCCCTCCCCGCTGTGCTCTCGCTCCGGCCCCATGGTCAGCATTTTAAACGTTTTCTGAAGCTCTGGCGGCCTCAGAGGGGCGTTCGGTGCTCTGACTACTCACGCACCGCCTTCAGCTTTCTTTGCTTCAGTTTTGGAGTACTTCAAGTTGTAAATTTCTTGGCAAATGAATGGCTCCGACGCTACCCCGGGACTTAAGTGCCAAGCTGTATCAGATAAAGAGGCTGCGGAAGCCTGCCAGGCCCATCTAATTCCGTGCAGAATGTGACTGGCGGCGTTTCCGCCGCCTTCCATCTCTCCTGGCTCACGCTGGCGGCGGGGACGCGGCTCATACTCTACCTTCTGACTCCTTTGGCAAGAGGCCGGTGCTTTCGTTCCATTTGAGCTCGAAGCTGTAGAAACAGGTCATGTATTCCAAGTCCATGAGGATCACGGAGAGGCTGTTGAGCTGGTCGGCCAGCCAGAAGTCGGCGAAGCCCACCTTATGGAAAGGGGCCGTAAATACCCGAAACTGGGAGGGAGAGAGGGAGGGAGAGAGAGAGAGAGAGGAGAGAGAGAGAGAGAGAGAGAGAGTTAGAACGCACAGAAAAAAGGGAAGTTTCTATGATATCGAATGCATGTGCAATCATGCAGCATGACGACTGCAGCCGTTCAGATGGAAACCTGTGACCCGTTTGCAGACACCGGGACCTGCAGTGTGGCCGGGCGGGAAATTAGTAGGGAAGGGGATGAACTGAATGGATGACCAAGGAAAGGACAGGAACGGGGTGGGGGGAGGGAGGCAGGAGTGGCTGCAGATAGAGAGCAGAGTCAAGAGTGAAGTGGGGAGGGAGAAGGGAAGAGAAATGAGAGAAAGGGAGAGGAAGAGGAAGAAGAAAGAGGGAGAGGGAGGGAGGGAGGAGAGAGAGAGGGAGAGAGGAAGAGAGAGGGAGAGGAGGGAGATGAAGAGAGAGGGAGAAGGAGGAGAGGAAGAGAGAGAAAGGGAGAGAGGGAGAGGAAGGGAAGGAGGAGAGAGAGGGAGAAGGAGAGAGGGAGCAAGAAGGAAGAGGGAGAGATGGAGGAGAGGGAGAGAAAGAGAGAGGGAGAAAAGGTAAGAGAGGGAGAGAGAGAGAGGGAGAGGGAGAGAGCGAGGGAGAAAGGGAGAGGCTGAGATCTCCCATTGGGTTTCTGGCATTCGGCCGGAGACCCCTGGCTCAGAGTAACTCCCGAATGTTCTTCTCTGGGACCGGAGCTTCCTTAACGACACCCAGTGCCTGGCCCGCAGCAGGCTTCGGATCTAAGCAGCGTCCCTCTGAGCTCTGTGGGTGGGGGGTGTGGATGCAGGGGTGCAGGGAGAAGGGACGGGAACGACCCCCCGCGCTGCTACTGTTCTCGCCCACGGTGCCTTCGAGGGCCACAACCTCAGAGCGAGGGACAACCCTGACCACATTGCAGATGCCTGCGACATCCTTCATCCAAAGCAGTGCCCGAGCAGAGGGAAGGAAGGGTCAGGCCCGGACGGGGTGGGACGCGCAGTGCAGTTCCGGGGGGCGGCGGGGGGGGAGTCTCACGGTTCCACGGGGAACGGAGTGGGGAATTGGGGGCAGCGTGAGGTCCCAGAGAGTCCAAGCAGGCGGGAGCGGCCGCGGAGTCTGGCGCTTGGCTCTGCTCACCCTTGGCCGGTGCTTCTGATTCTTCTCTAATTGCCACCGTGTCTCTGCTTATTATTTCAGGGAGATAAGCAGCTGAATTAAAAACCCGCGCCGGGTGCCAACGATCCGTAACAGACACCGGCCTGGCGCGTCGCGGGGCAGACAGGCGGCTGCGGGGGTCCCCGGGGGACATTCCTGGCCGGGGCGGACACAGTTCGAGGCCAGGGCGAGGTCTCCTCACCCCTCTCAGTCGCGGGGGGCTCGCCGTGAGGCTCAGATGACAAACAACACAGAGCGAGTTTCTGGCAAGGGACGAGGGGGGCGGGGGGGGGCGGGTATCCGTCATCTGTAGTGTTTTGAGCAATTTTAGGGCGCAGGATGGACTAAGAGGCTGCCAAGCGTTTTGTCAAAACAGAAGGACGTGGGGTCGGAGCAATAACACAGAAGGGAGGGCGTTGGCCTTGCATGTGGCTGACCCAGGTTCGATCCCCGGCATCCCATAGGGTCCCCTGAGCACCGCCAGGAGTGAGTCCTGAGTGCAGAGCCGGGAGTCAGCCCTGAGCATCGCCGGGTGGGACCCAAAAAGCAAGCAAACAAAAAGCACACACACACACACACACACACACACACACACACAACACAACCTCAAAACGCCAACAACAGCAGGAACCCATTAGGCCCTGACATAAGAGTTCCTCGCAGGGGCTGGAGCAATACTGCAGCGGGTAGGACATTTGCTTTGCATGCGGCCGACCTGGGTTCGATCCCCAGCATCCCAGAGGATCTCCCGAGCACCGCCAGGAGTGATTCCTGAGTGCAGAGCCAGGAGTCAGCCCTGAGCATCGCCGGGTGGGACCCCAAAAGAAAAAAAAAAGAGAAAAAAGAAAATGATGTAGATTCCCCGGGGAACAGCACTAAGAGATGCTGGCATTGGTCAACGGCTGCTCTGCTGCCCGCAGACACCGCCAGCTGTGGGCAAACGGTATTGAAACCGCTGTGCTGGTACTGAGTTCGCCCAAACACAGGTGGCTGAAGCTGGTGTTTGTGCAGTGGGTGGGTTGAGCCCTACACAGTGGTCACTACCTCAGAGGTCACTCCTGACTGAGCTCAGGGGACCCTATGGTCCCAGAGATCAAACTGGGGTCAGCCATGCATGGAAGGCAGGTGGCTTACCTCCAGAACTCTCTCTATGGCCCCTTAATTTCTACTTTTCTGAGTCAGGAAAAGTTCCGGTCTTGCTGAATTTCACTTTTTTCCTTTTTGGGCCATATCCGGCAATGCTCAGGGCTTACTCCTGGCTCTGCACTCAGCAATCACTACTGGTGGTAACTGGGGGACCCTATGGGATGCTGGGGATCGAACCTGGGTCGGTCGCATGCAATGCCAATGCCCTCCTTGTCGTACTATCGCCCCGGCCCTAAATTTCACTTTTCTATACCATCAGTCTGAGCTGGCAGATCCGAATCCAGTGCTCTGGGGAAAGGGCCCAGTCAGTGGAGTGGCTGCAGGGTGAGGACACAGGGGCCAGGGAGTGGGGCGGCGGGAGGGCGCTCATCCTGCATGGGTCCAACCTGGGTTCGATCCCCAGTATCCCTCGGCCCTCGGAGCCCCGCCAGGAGTGATTCCTGAGCTTGCCAGGAGTGGCCCCCAAACTCCAAAACTACCTAAAACATTTATCTCCGACTGGGGCCACCTGTATCTAACTCCTCTGAGTCTGGGTTGCTTTTTTTTATCAGCTGCGAACTGGAGCTGCAACCTCATGGACTCCCGCAGGGTTCCTTGCACACAGCCAACCCAGGTTCGATCCCCGGCATCCCCTAGGGTGCCCCCGAGCACCGCCAGGAGTGAGTCCTGAGTGCAGAGCCAGGAGTCAGTCCTGAGCATCGCCAGGTGGGACCCAAAAAGAAAAATAAAACAAACAAACAAACAAAAAAAAATCAAGGATAAAAAGAGACAGAAAAAGGTACTTTAGGGTAGGGCTTAAAAGACCTATTACGTTCTACAGATATGCAATATATTCCTATTTTCCTATTTTATTATTTATGTATTTATCCTATTTTCCTATTTTATTATTTATTTACTTAGGGTCACACCTGGTGATGCACAAAGGTTACTCCTGGCTCATGCACTCAGGAATTACTCCTGGCGGTGCTTGGGGGACCATATGGGATGCTGAGAATTGAACCCAGGTCGGTCGCGTGCCAGGCCAACGCCCTCCCTGCTGGGCTAACGCTCCAGCCCCTGTTTTCCTATTTTAAATAGTCGGCACAGCAGGAAGTGAACCTTGCTCTCGCCTTACGTCTATTCTGATAGCAGGGACGGGTGATGATCTGACCAGAGCAGACCGCTAAATACCGGAAAGACCCATTTCCAAATGCCATCGCATCGCAGAGGGCTTATTTGGGAACCTGCACAGGCCCAGGGCCTGGGGTACCAACTCCGCATGCAGGAGCCTGAGGCCCGAGGCTGGCACTGGCTGGGGCGGCCCCCAGACAGCAAGACACGCTGCCAGCCGCCTGTCCATCAGCTGCTGTTTTTGTTTTGGAAACCTGACACACAGTTTCCTAACTGGATTTCCAAGAAGGCAAATACAGATTTAGAAAGAGGAGGGCCGGCTTTATGAAAGATTAGAGATGGAACAATGTGACCGACGACATTCCTATCAGAATCTCAGCTGCTTCTAAAAACAAGCGTCTTTATTTTTATTTATTTATTTTTTGCTTTTTGGGTCACACCCAGCGATGCTCAGGGGTCACTCCTGGCGGTGCTCAGGGGACCATATGGGATGCTGGGAATCGAACCCGGGTCGGCCGCGTGCAAGGCAAACGCCCTATCCGCTGTGCTGTTGCTCCAGCCCCAAAAACAAGCGTCTTTAAAAAAAAAAAAAAAGGGAATATACCAGTGATATAGATTCGATTTTAAATAGGGATGGAAAGACCCATCCCTGCTTCCCACAATGTCCCCGAGACATACTCTCTTCCCACTAAAAATTCAAGTTAAAAAGGGGCTGGAGCGAAACTACAGTGGGGCAGGCATTTGCCTTGCACGTGGTCAACCTGGGTTCGATCCCCAGCATCCCGTGGGGTCCCCCGAGCACTGCCAGGAGTGATTCCTGAGTCAGAGCCAGGAGTCAGCCCTGAGCATCGCTGGGTGTGACCCAAAAAGCAAAAAAAAAAAAAAATCAAGGAAAAAAAGAGACAGAAATGTACTTTAGGGTAGGGCTTAAAAGACGCACATATATGTTCTAGAGATAAGTAATATATTCCTATCTCACTCGGCCGTCTGAGGCACCCCGGAAGCTGTGAATGCAACCCAAGCATTCCTGCTGATTTCTTGGAAGTGAGCAGCAGTCTCTCCTAGAGCCTCTTTTTCAAAATTCCTGGATCAGGGATCACTCCTGTTGGGCGTGGGGGACCCTATGGGGTGCCTGGGAGCCGGCCCCGTGCCAGGCAGGCGCCCACTGTCATCTTTCCACCCCCTGCTAAGTGGGGTCTTCATCAGAGAACCCACAGGCTCCACTTCCACACCAGATAACGGATATTCATGCAGTGAGGAGATCGGTAAGGAGTGAGAACTGAAATTTATTAAAAACGAGACTCCAGGGGCTGGAGCAATAGCACAGTGGATAGGGCGTTGGCCTTGCACACAGCCGACCCGGGTTCGATTCCCAGCACCCCATATGGTCCCCTGAGCACCGCCAGGGTAATTCCTGAGCACAGAGCCAGGAGGAACCCCTGTGCATCGCCGGGTGTGACCCAAAATGCGGGGAGGGAAAAAAAAGAGACTCTAGGTTAGCCTCTCAAATTAAACTAGGTGATGTCCTCCCGCTGTCTGCTGTTAGACAACCAACCTCCCAGGAAAGAAAACTGTCTGCAGTCCCGCTCAACATGACTGGTAGGCAAAGGTCAGTTTTACCCAACTTTGAAAAAACTCACTGGTGTCAGGATGTGAGGCCGGCAGCAAAGCACAAGCCTCCCACATGGGGTATTGACACCGGTACCACATGCCTCTCCTGTCCCCAAGTCCTGCAGCGAGTATGTGACAAAGCAAATGTGAACGATTATTGATCGATTTGCAAAAACAGTTTCCATATCTGCGCACAAAGCAAGAGGGAGAACGCGTTGAGTGTTTTTCCTGGGGTCACTGCACACGGGTTGGGGGTGCCCATGGTCACTGCACGTGGGTTGGGGGTGACCGTGTCCTGGGGCCTCGGACAGGGGCACCGCTGACCCCCGCCGGGACCCGGCTGTGGGGTGGGGGGTGGGGGGTCTCCTGGAAGAGGCTGATGACCAACACGTCATTTCGAACAGGCCCACGCGGGTCTCTACTCACCAGCAGCTTGAGTAGCCAGAAGCGGGACTTGTAATAGAAGGTCTTGGTGGGGTTGATGAGGAAGAGAGCCATGAAGCCGTAGAGGAGCAGAGGGTACGCGTAGGTGGGGATGGCACCGATGGGGGCGAAGAAGCAGGCCAGAAGGCTCAGGCACCACAGGATACCCAGGAAGCCAGCGATCTGGGGACAGAAAACGCATCTTTTAAATTCTGACCCTGGGGGCTGGAGCAATAGCACAGTGAGTAGGGCGTTTGCCTTGCACGCAGCTGACCCGGGTTCGATTCCCAGCATCCATATGGTCCCCTGAGCACCGCCAGGAGTAACTCCTGAGTGCAGAGCCAGGAGGAACCCCTGTGGATCGCCGGGTGTGACCCAAAAAGCAAAAAAAAAAAAACCAAAATAAAAAAAAAAAATTCTGACCCTGACGCAGAGGTAGCTCAGGTGAAGCCACAAAGCCAATCCCCTCTTTTCCAAATTTTTATTTATTTATTTATTTATTTATTTAATTTATTGATGTTTGGGTCCCACCCGGCGATGCTCAGGGCTGACTCCCGGCTCTGCATTCAGGAATCACTCCTGGCTGCGCTCGGGGGACCCTGTGGGATGCCGGGGATCAAACCCGGGTCGGCCGCGTGCAAGGCAAATGCCCTATTCTTTTTTTTTTAAATAAATTTTAATAAATTTTATTGGATCACTGTGAGATATAGTTACAAACTTTCATGATTACATTTGAGTCATACAATGAGTAACCATCCCTCCACCAGTGCACATTTTCCATCACCAATGTCCCCAGTATTCCTCCCGCCACCCCCCCCCCCCCCCCCCCAGCGGCCTCTGTGGCAGGTACCTTCCTTCTTACTCTCTAAGTTTGGGCATCATGTTTTTTTTTTGGGGGGGGGGGGTCATACCCGGCGATGCACAGGGGTTATTTCTGGCTCATGCACTCAGGAATCACTCCTGGCAGTGCTCAGGGGACCCTAGGGGATGCTGGGAATCGAACCAGGGTCGGCCGCATGCAAGGCAAACACCCTACCTGCTGTGCTATCGCTCCAGCCCCCATCATGGTTTTTATTTTATTTTTTTGCTTTTTGGGTCACACCCAGCCGATGCTCAGGAGTTACTCCTGGCTCTGCACTCAGGAATCACTCCTGGCGGTGCTTGGGGGACCCTATGGGATGCCGGGAACCGAACCAGGGTCGGCCGCATGCAAGGCAAATGCCCTACCCACTGTGCTATTGCTCCAGCCCCAGGGCATCATGGTTTTTAATACAGATGCTGAGAGGCCACCACGTTTGGTCCTTAGTCTACTTTCAGCACGCATCTCCCATCCTGGGCGATCCCTCCAACCATCACTGACTTAGTGGTCCCTCCTCCATCCCAGCTGCCTACCGACCCCCTCTTTGACTGGAAGGATTCCCCAGGCCCACAAAACCGACTCGCTGGCTGGGGCTGGGGGCCGGCGGGCGTTACCTCAAAGAGATGCTGGTGGGACAGGTTGCTCCTCGGGTTCAGCTCGAAGATGAGCACGTGGTTGACGCCGGCCTGCCGCCAGCCGTACGTATTGATGCCCAGCAGGAAAAGGAATTCGATCAGGAGAAAACCACCCCGGTAGATTCGTATCAAGGGCCATATGCTTCGACTTGTTTCAAGTTTAAATACAGCTGCAAGAACATTCGACTGGTGGTTAGACAATGTAGTATTGCATCCGTCGGAGCTCTCAGTAAAGAAACTCTGGCCCGCACGGGAGTCTCTTGGTCAGTGAAAACCTAAACCCGGACTGATGTCATCTAAAACGCAAGACTGACCCGCCGCCCCACATTCTTCCTCGATCCTGGCCCTGTCAGAGGGGGACTTCTGCCACTACACAATGGCTTGCATTCATTTTTTGCTTTTTGGGTCCCACCCGGCGATGCTCAGGGCTGGCTCCTGGCTCTGCACTCAGGAATCACTCCTGACAGTACTTTGGGGACCATATGGGATGCCGGGGATCGAACCTGGGTTGACCGCATGCAAGGCAAATGCACCCCTCCATGCTGTGCTATTGCTCCGGCCTCGAGATTTCAAACCCTAGTTAAACCAGGTGCAAATTCTTTAGTTCTCCTATGGTCTCACTTTTCTTTTTGGTCTTTGGAAAGCGTCAACGTTCTCCTAAGTTTATTCAAATAACATGTGAACCAAATAGATGCCTCAAATAACGTTTGGCCGCCTTTTAGGAGCACGTCATATATTTCCTTTTATTTTTCTTGCGCCGACTTCATTTTCCCCCATGCATCTGACATCTTTATTAAGTGCCTAGCTACATGGGAAAGCCGTCCAGGACGCAGGGACTCACTAATGCACAGCAGACAGAAGGGCGAGCTCCTGAACTCTTTCCCTCCTGCAGAATGTCAGACAGTGATAAGAGCTTTGAAGAGGGAGGGGAGTTTGGAGGAGGAGATTAAGGATGATGTCAGGAGCTATTTCAGGGTGCGTGATCAAGTTCTCTTAGGAGCTGACATTCGCGGGGAAGGCAGGAACAATGGATCCTGTGAGGAGCTGGAAATAGCGGGGACGCACGCGAGTCTGGTGCATTCCGAAGAAGAGACATTTATTCCAAGGGCTCTGGGAGAAAGGAGCGGGCAGCTGGGGAAAAGGGAACGGGAGACAGAGTGTGGGCGCAGCCGCGAGGCTAAACCTTGGTCTCTTGTGTGGGAAGCCGAGGAACGGTCTAGCAGGGACGGGACAGTCACGTCCCCCGTTTTCCAGGGCGACGCCCATGGTAGGAGGAAGGCCAGACCATCAGGCACCCGGCGCGGAGGCGAGGTGAGTTCCAACACCACCAGCTGAGGTATTTGTACATCAAGATGCGGCCAGAAAACCCCACAGTTGTGGGGCATGTCGGCAAATAACTGCAATGGAGTTCCAGGGAGAAGTGCAATGGAGTTCCAAAGAGAACTGCAATGGAGCTCAAGGGAGCAAGGGAGAACTGCAGAGGCCAGGGAGATGTTGCCAAAATGAGACAACGAACCTCTACTTAAAACTTCTAGGAAGGAGTTTCTTTCTGGGCCTCCCAAGTGGTGCTTGAGTCACACACAGCTGGAAAACAGGGCCCGGCGCTGCCAGCTGCCCCCTCAGGCCCCACCTCTGAATAGACCTAACTAAGACGGTGAAAAGATGAGCACATGCGAATCCAGAATGTTCCACACTCGCGGAGCGGGTTAGCCATTCGCGGAGGGAACACGCTGGGACTAGAAAGGAACGAGGAAGCATTGCCAAGCCCATGGGTGGAAGACATTAGACAGATACACTGCCCGGAGTGAACTGATACTATCTAGACATTTATGGCAGTTTGACTGTCATCAAGGCTTTCTAACAAATAATTGGTGGGTCAACTGGATATTCAGATAGAAAGAATGAAGCTAAGCCCCTACCTCACATCATATGCAGTGATCTCTCTCTCTCTCTCCCTCCCTTCCTCCCTCTTTCTCTCTCTCTCTCTCTTTCTTTCTTTCTTTCTTTCTTTCTTTCTTTCTTTCTTTCTTTCTTTCTTCTTTTTGGGTCACACCCGGCGATGCTCAGGGCTGACTCCTGGCTCTGTACTCAAGAATTACTCCTGGTGGTGCTCGGGGGGGGGGGGGGGGGCGGGGGGCCCTATGGAATGCCGGGGAATGAACCTGTGTCTGCCAAGTGCAGGGCAAACACCCTCCTCGCTGTGCTATCACTCCAGCCCTGCAAAATGACTTTTCAAAATGTACCAACGACCTCAATGTAAGAGCCAGAACCACAGATTTTTTTTTTTAAAAAAAGGATCTATCTCTTCACAATCATGAATTTGGCCATGAGCTGAACTTATTCAAAAAACAACAAGCTTCTGGCCACCGTAAAGTACGGGAAAGCCAATCCACCATGGGAGAAAACAGCTGTGAGTCACGTGTCAAGAACGGACTGAGTACGTGAGCACACAAGCTTTTTCCCACAGAGAATACACAAACAGCTAATAAGCACGTAAAAACACGCTCAGCAGCATTAGTCACTGGGGAACTGCAAATCAAAGCCATTAACAAAACACACTTCATCCCCATTAGGATGGCTAATTTTTTAAAAAGTGCCACCCCCGGCCCCACCCCGCCAAAAAAAAAAACAAACAAAACAAAAACTGCAAGCGTTAGTGATGGCGTGGATAAAACAGTCTCCTGAGCTGCTGCTGGTGGGAAGGGAAAACAGTGGAACCTCTGTTGAGAAAAAATGATCTGATGGTGCGAAAGACAGTGAAATGCAGAATTACCATTTCACTGAGTGCTTTGACCCCAAGTTACAGTCCGTCTCATTTCTTTATTTTTTTGCTTTTTGGGTCACACCCGGCTATGCACAGGGGTTTCCTCTTGGCCCTGCACTCAGAAATTACTCCTGGTGGTGCTTAGGGGACCCTACGGGATGCTGGGAATCGAACCTGGGTCAGCTGCGTGCAAGGCAAATGCCCTCCCTGTTGTGTCATCACTCCAGCCCCCATGGTCCACCTTCATGCTGCCAATAGGGTCTTGGGAGAGGCGAGCTGGGTACAGTGGAAGTGAGTCTTGTAATGACGGCGTCGTCTGGTTCAGCCTGGCCAGGACTATTTCCCCCCTTGCCAACGTTCAGAAACAACACAGCACCGGGTCAGTTACGCCAAATACGTCTGTGAAGTCTTGGAGCATTTTCCTTCAGCTGACCTGACGCTTCCTTGGCTGTCCACCGCACGGGGACAGGACCGCCTCCAACTGGTGTTTCTCCACCACTGCCCCCACCGGGGTCCCCAGCCTGGGAATCGGTCCCCTGGTTTCATGTGGTGACCCCCGATTTCCATGATTTTCAGGCCCTTTGGAATATCCAGGGTCTTAGAGGGAGTGAGCTGGGAAATGCCAATGGAAACCGTTTCCGACCGAAGGACATTGGAGTTCTGCCATTAGAAACGATACAAGGAATATCCTCCCTTAAAACAGGTTCAGACCCCTGTGTGGGCGTGTTTGTCGAATCGACTTCTAGATAGAAAATGGTTTCATCAAAGTGACTGTGTTAAAATTTTTTATACAGGGGCTTGAGTGATAGTACAGTGGGGAGGGTGTTTGCCTTGCACGTGGCTGACCCGGGTTCGATCCCCAGCATCCCATAGGGTCCTCCGAGCATCGCCAGGAGTGATTTACCAAGCCAGGAGTAAACATCACCGGGTGTGACCCAAAATGCAAAAAAAAATAAAAAAAATAAAAAAAAAATATTTTTTGACCTGACTCCTGGCTCTGCACTTAGGGAATCACTCCTAGTGGTGCTCGGGGGGGACCCTATGGGATGCCGGGTGTCGAACCCAGGTTGGCAGCGTGCAAAAAAAAAATATATATATGTATGTATTTTTTTTTTTGGTACATACTACCCGACCATCCTCTAAAGAGACAGCAACAATTACGACTTTGCCCTGGTCTATTTGGACCCTGCTATTTTACACCTTACCCAGACAAACGTACCTTTACATCTCCATAAAACCAGCTGCAATATATGATTTTTCAGGCGAATTATTACACGCCACCTCAGATCCCCTTGAGAAACCGCGGCAATTATGCCAATTTTCTGAAGTGAACGTTCGAGGGAATGAATCATGCTCGTACATGCATTACTACTGCTCCGTTTTCTCCCTCGGTTCTCCGCCCCGGTCTCGTGAAAAACCCACTGGGAGATAAATAAGAACAGACAGCTGGCTCTGACTATACTTACTCTGCCTCCCCCTCCACCGCCCCCACTCACACACAAAGAACAAACAAAGAAGGGTTCTGAGGTGCGCGAACATTTGACGCACAATGCGAGAGCCACACACAGCCCCAACCCAATCAGGCTGCCTCATCAAACAGTCTGCGTCGACCAAAGAAACCCGAACCCCGCCTGGCCCCTCTGAGTTTAAAGCGTCTTGTTTTGAAGTCGCATACATACAAATTACAAATGCAGCGGCTTCTTTTATGCCTTATTCAAGGACAAGCACGTCCCCACGCTCATCTCCGCAGAAACGACTTAAGAATTTTCACGCAGGAAGACCAACTCTCACTACACATGCTACATACTTCATACGGACGTGGTGCTAAGTATAGATACGTGTGACTTCTTCTCCACCCCCGACCCAGCCCTGCTTTCTGGGTCACATCAGGCAATGCTCAGGGCCGACTCCTGGCTCTGCACTCAGGGATCACTCCTGGTGGTGCTCGGGGGACCCTGTGGGATGCCGGGTGTCGAACCCAGGTTGGCAGTGTGCAAAGCAAATGCCCTCCCTGCTGTGCTATCGCTCTGGTCCCTAATTTCTTAAGGGGAAATTAAGAAACCTAATTTCTTAAGGGGACCTCTAGCTACTGGTCTCAAAGCATTTTTTTCCCTCCTCATCTGACACTTTCCTTTATCCTAGATGAAGTCCTCATTTTCCTCCCTTCTAATCCACTCCACCTCTCCTAGCCCTTCCCGGACCCCTCCTCCCCCCGCCCAACAAATCTCTGCTCCTGTGTTTCCCTTCTGTGGAAGGTTTTTCACTCATTCCATCACTGTCCAGCACCAGTGCTATTTCTCCCAAAACTTTTTTCAATGCTCTTGAGGTCTATATAATTCCTTTTTCTCGTGTGTGTGTGTGTGTGTGTATGTGTGTGTGTGCGCGTGTGTATGGGGGGTGGTGAGGAGTGTTGGGCCGCATCTGGCTATGCTCAGTGCTACTATAGAAACAACCCCAACACACGTTAGACAAGAAAGGAAGGAAGGAAGATTCTGAGAGTCACCTGCAGAACTGAGTCGGCCGAGGTAGGGGCGGGGCGGGGAGGGTGAGCAGGGTTTGTTGCAGTAACAATGGATGCCTGAACCATTAGGATCGCTCGTATTGCAAAAGTCATCCCCTGATGCATCACTCATAAAATACAGAAAAAAATTAATAGGTCTGGCACACATATACACCCCAACTCCCCAAATCCAAACGCAAACACAGTGCCAACACACCAAGTGCTGGAGCCGGAGACAAGGGGTGGGGTGGGGGTGGGGAGCGGGCGGGGGGCGGGCTTAGGGACACTACGTGGGCTCCCAGCTCTGTCGGCTGTCGCCCAATCTCCCCCTCTCAGAAAAGAGGCAAAACGCACTCAAAAAGCCGTTATGACCTGGGTTCTGATTCCACGAGGCGCGACGGGAACTCTTCAGACTGTTGATGCGGAATAATGAAGTCAGGAAAAGTATTTACTGAGCAGCTGCTATACGTCTGTCACTGCGTGAGGGTGTTCAAATACCAACCCGAGAGAGACACACAACTCTGTGACGGAACAGTCCACGCGACAGTGACAGAAACCTGCACTATTATGACTACCGATCATCCAAACTAGAAGGGAGTATTCACAGACGCTTCCGCCAACAGTAACGTGTATTCATAAGCCATCACTGAAACTACTCTGATCCCTGAGCACTGGCGGATACAGATACTCTAGGGATGCCTGGACTTTTGCCCTGAAGTTGCCATCGACCCAGCGGCCTCTGAGTCTCAGCTCTTCTGGGGGCTGTTGGTGAGCACACGTGTTCTCCATAGATGCTTGGACCCACCTGTGTTTCTGGACCCCCCAGTACCCCGGGCCAGTGCCTGCACAGCAAGGTACTTCCCTGCCATCTACCCGTGGAAGACAAATACTCAAGGTGACGCCAAAGATCCCAAGTGCTCGGAAGAAGATGAGTGTGGGCTGCAGGGAGAGGAGGGGAGATCTGAGGGTGGGGTGCTCGGGGAACCCCAATAGGAGCAGCGGCAGGTGAAGGGAAGGTGGAGCCGGGGAGGAAGGGACACGGACAACTTGGTGAGGAGTTTCTCAGGATGCCTGAATGGGGTGAGGTGCGCTGGGGGCTGCCCCGAGCTGAGATCAGTTTCCAGGCCTGGCTAGCAAGAGGCTCCTAAGCTGGGGGGAGACTGTCCACACCTCAATTCTTATTTATTATTATTGTTAAAATTTTTATTTATTTTTTCTTTTTCTGAGTCACACCTGGCAATGCACAGGGGTGATTCCTAGCTCTGCACTCAGTAAGAACGGATACCTGAAACATTAGTATTGCTTGTATTATAAAAGTCATCCCCTGATGCATCAATAATGAGAAAATACAGAAAAAAATTAATTGGTCTAGCACACATATACACCCCAACTCCCCAAATCCAAACGCACCCTGGTGATGCTCAGGGGACCCTATGGGATGCAGGGGATCGAACCTGGGTTGGCCGCATGCAAGGCAGACGCCCTCCCCGCTGTGTTATCGCTCCGGCCCTTCCCTTAAGACTTTATGTCCATGGATCTGAACAGGAGGAGCGTCCCCAAGAGGCAAAGTGAGGGAGGGTTAGTCCGCGAGCCTTTCACCTACTCTCAGCTGAGGTCAGGGAGCAGGGGCTCCTGGCACTCACCTCTGAGGCGATCTGAGGGAGTAACCCCCCAAATGGAGAACAAAACGGAATGAAACTAGCCATATTCTTGTTTGGCTATTGAGTCACACCCAGCGGTGCTCGTGGCTGACTCCTTGGCTCTGCACTCAGGAATCACTCCTGGAGGTGCTCGGGGGACCCTATGGGATGCCGGGGATTGAACTTGGGTCGGCCACGTGCCAGGTCAATGTCCTCCCTGCTGTACAATCTTTCTGCTACAGCCCTATTTTATTTTTATTATTTTTTAAATAATTAATTTTTTTTTTTAAATAATGGGTCTCATATCTCCTGACCCTGAAAGACCCTCAAATGTGGCACTTTTTAAAATCTCAGGGCTAGGACGAAGGAGACGTTACTGGGGCCTGCTTGAGGCAATTGATGAACAACAGAATGACAATGATAGTGATTTTTTTAATTAATTTTTTTAATGTAGGAGTACTGCTATTTATTCAGCAATAGATTAAGCTGATTGAATTAGGCATGAACTCCACATTATTTTTTAATTTTATTTACTTTTTGCTTTTTGGGTCCCACCCAGCGACGCACAGGGGTTCCTCCTGGCTCTGCACTCAGGAATCACTCCTGGCGGTGCTCGGGGGACCCTATGGGATGCTGGGACTCGAACCCGGGTTGGTTGGGGAAACCAATTACTAGTCACGCCTTTATCATGAATATGAATGAAAACGAGTCCTAAGAGATTTTTTTCTTTCAGTGGCTTCGGTCGTTCGAGCTTGATTCCTCACGGAGGGAACAGAACATGACAAAAGCGTATCCGTAAGAATGATTTAACTCGAAAATTAAACGACTTACCGGCAAGCACGAGGGTAATGTTCAGTACAAGGAATATTCCACAAAACAGGCCAACTCGGAAAGTAGTCCATGCTGGTGCGGGCTGCAGGCAGAGAAAGGGACAGGGCGAAAGGCTGAAACGCTTGGCGGGTGTCACGGCAAATTAGATGCACGGACCTCGACGTTCCACCAGAAACGCTGTTTTAGGATCTGAATGCCGAAAATTCTGCCCCCGGGAATCCTTCATCATCTTATTTTTATCACTATATCATCTGTGTTATCTTTATTTTCTTTGCTTTTTTGGGTCACACCTAGCGATGCTCAGTGGTCACTCCTGGCTCTGCACTCAGGGATCACTCTGGCAGTGCTGGGGGTGGGGGGACCCTGTGGGATGCCGGGGATCGAACCCGGGCCGGCCATGTGCAAGCCAAATGCCCTCCCCGCTGTACTATCGCTCCGACCCACATCTATGTTATCTTATGCTTACTTATATGCCATCTTATAAGTACTCTAGAAGCAGAGTTCTAACGCCTGAAACTATTTTACAGAAACCAAGTGATTAAATAATCAAGGTCAGTTTTCTGACACTGAAAACTGAATACGAGGCGTATACTCCTTTATTCTGTACCCCAAGTTCAAACGCCCTCCCATTGTGCTACCTCCCTGGCCCAGTAATTTCCTTTTTTTTCTTTTTTTTTCTTTTTAGGTCACACCTGGCGATGAACAGAGGTGACTCCTGGCTCATGCACTCAGAAATCGCTCCTGGCGGTGCTCGGGGGACCCTATGGGATGCTGGGAATCAAACCCGGGTCGGCTGCATGCAAGGCAAACGCCCTCCCGGCTGTGCTATCACTCCGGGGCCCCGTTATTTCCCTTTGAAGGTGGAGCAATCTAGTATGCCACCAACTGTTTATTCAACTACTGGCAGACTTCCCGGGGGGTTGTTCCCAGGTTCAAGCTACTATGAATAAAGTTGCTTAAGATCACTCGTGGGACAAGGCACATAAAGGGAACTTTAAGGCTCGGGTTTGCCCGGAGTAAATACCTGAGTGCAAGAGCTATATTAGACGGTGGAGGAAGGTTTAAGAAATAGCCCGACGGTGTTGCAATGTGGTCATATCATTTTACCTTTCATCAGCAGCATCTGAGAGCACAGTTCTTATTTCTCCCACATTTGATCCGGCACTCTTTCATTTTAATTTAATTTTGCTTTTCATCTGGAAGCTGATCCGGCTCGCTGTGCTTTTCATTTGCACTTCCCTAACTGGCTAATGATAGGAAGCCTCTACCGATCTTTCAAACGTCGATTTACGGCGCATACATCTTTTGCCCGTTTGGAAACTGGATCAGTGGTTTTGTTTTTGTTTTGGCCGTGATGGGAATTGAACCCAGGGCTTCATACAAGGCAAACGCTCTACCACGAAGCCACACCTCCAGTCCTGGGTTTTATTTATTTATTAAACACAGGATCTTTTTTTTTAAAAACATTGATTTTATTGTATTTTTGCTTTTTGAGTCATACCCAGTGATGCTCAGGAGTTTTTCTGGCTCTGCACTCAGGAATTTCTCCTGACAGTCAGGAAACCATATGGGATGCTGGGGATTGAACCCAGGTCAGCCGTGCACAAGGCAAATGGCCTCCCCACTGTACGATTACTCCAGCCCCGGTTTTATGTTTTATTATTGAGCACTGGGGCTCTATAGGAACCAGGCTTTATCAGACACAAATATTTTGTAAATATTTTCCCTAGCCTGCTCCTTTTCCTTTTATTCTCTTGACTTCGGAAGAGCAGAACTTTGAAATTCTGATGCAATGCTTTTGGCATCATGTTAAGAAAAGTTTTTAACACCTGGACTTTCTCCTGTTCTTTTTTTTCCCCCTAAAATGTTACGATTTTAGGTCTTCATTTTGGCCTACACTACTTTTAATTCTGCATGAATCCGAAGGACCGGAAGAGTTGCTGTTGGCATACTCAGAGGCCCAGCACCGTCAGCTGAAACGTTGAGCCCTTTCCACTGAACTGCTTTGACATCTTTTTTTGGTTTTGTTTTGGGGACACTTGGAGGCTACTCTTGACTCACCACTTGGGGGGACCACGTGGTGCTGGGGACCGAAACGGGGGCTCCGTGCGCCAAGCCTGTGCTCCAGCCCTGGAGCTGCAAGTTTGCTGTTCATATATTTACTGATCTATTTTGGAACTCTGTTCCAATCTGCTGGCCTATTTGCCTACTCTGACACTAATACTATCCTGATTACTGTGGCTGGGCAGAATGCCGGAGAGCAGGTAACCTTTGGACTTAGTATCTATAGACGGTAGCACTGTAGCACTGTCCTCCCATTGTTCATCGATTTGCCCAGTAACATTGTGAGGCTTGTTGTTACTGTGTTTGGCATATCGAATACGCCAAGGGGAGCTTGCCAGGCTTTGCTGTGCGGGAGAGATACTCTCGGTAGCTTGTCGGGCTCTCTGAGAGGGGCGGAGGGATTGAACTCGGGTCAGCTGGGTCGGCCACATGCAAGGCCAAAGCCCTCCCCGCTGTTCTATCGCTCCGGCTCCTGTGCTGAAACCTTTTTAAAATAATAAAACTAGTAGATTTTTGTTTGTTTAATTTTTGCGTCACACACGGCGATGCTCAGGGGTTCCTCCTGGCTCTGCACTCAGGAATTATCCCTGGCGGTGCTCAGGGGACCTATGGGATGCTGGGAATCGAACCCGGGTTGGCCGCATGGAAGGCAAACGCCCTCCCCGCTGTGCTATCGCTCCAGCCCCCCAAACTAGTAGATTTTATCAGCTAAGCAGATCGATCTGACTAGACCTCCAATGGGCAAACCCCACCCATCACCGACCAACTGGGAAGCAGACACTGACCTGAGCGGCGCCCAAGGGGGGGACACGCAAGCGCTTCATGGCCTTTTGTCTGTCACCATCTTCAAGTTCATTGGTCACTACGGCCTACAAAGACACACGATCCAGGTTTGACGCTGGTCACTCTAAGAGAAGTGCACGCGCGTAAACTGTCACCCCTGCAGAGTATAAGTGCCTTCCCTCCCGGTCGCCCGCTCCCACCCCGACAAGTCCCCGGATGGGGCTTTCTGATCACCGCTGATGGGCAAAGCAACGACAAGTAAGCAAGGATCCTGGCACTCTAAGCCGGCCAGAAGGTTCTGGAAGGAGGGCAGACGTGAGGAAAAGCAGGGTGTGCGGGGGTGAAGCCCCGGGAGGCGAGAGCACCCCACCTCGGTTTCGGAGATGAGCTGGTTGATCTTCTTGCACGTATAAAACGGGGCGAGCTCCACGTGGGCCACGCGCCAGTCGGCCCCGCGCGCCGTTTCCAGGATCTTGTCATGCTTCTTAAGGATCTTCCGAAACCCGGTAAAATTCAGATTCTGCGGGGAGAAGGGACACTTCTATAAAGACCAGCAGCGGAGCAGAAAAGAGGGAGAAGCAGCGGGAGGATGCAGCGAGGGCCCTGACCCAGGAAAGCCTTTCTGAGTGGGAGGTCCTGGCACTTCCTCTCCCTTTCATTGGTTCCTTCCGGGTCACAGCGAGGAGACCCCAGCATGGGCCCTGTCAATGCTTTTTTTTTTTTTTTTTGCTTTTTGGGTCATACCCAGCGATGCGCAGGGGTCACTCCTAGCTCTGCACTCAGGAATTGCCCTGGCAGTGCTCAAGGGACCATATGGGATGCTGGGAATCGAACCCGAGTCGGTCGCATGCAAGGCAAATGTCCTACCCGCTGTGCTATCGCTCCAGCCCATCAATAGTTTTTTTTAAAAAATCTTTTTTTTTGGGGGGGGGGGGGCGTTACACCCAGCGATGCTCAGGGGTTACTCCTGGCTTTGCATTCAGGGATCCCTCCCGGCGGTGCTTGGGGGACCCTATGGGATGCCGGGGATCGAACCCAGGTTGACCATGTGCAAGGCAAACGTCCTCCCTGCTGTGCTATCGCTCCGGCCCCCACTGCCAATGCTTTGTCATGTGAATTCTCGGAAGTCCTGAATTCAACACCTGATCGCTTTTGTTCTGACACTATTTGGGGGTCACCCGGTCACAGTGCTCAGTGCTCACTCTTGGGTCTGTGCTCAGCGGTTGCTCCTGACAACGCCGGGGATCAAGCCAGGCAAGCTGCACTCACCTCACCCCCGTGGGTGTCTCCCTAGCTGAAAAAATTCTATTGATTCCTGTATTTCAGGCAGCCCTGAGCAAAGCCACCCCCTTCCTTCCCTCTGTCTGTCACGCTCATTGGAAGAAGTTCTCGTTTTCCTTTTCCTGTGAACACCTGTCGGCCAGATAGCTCGCCTGGATTATTCTGATTCTGTCATCAAGAGAATATTCTCAGAAAATTACTTTGGGCTGGGGCTGGAGCCATAGCACAGTGGGTAGGGCACTTGTCTTGCACACGGCCTATTCAGGTTCGATCCCCGGCATCCCCTAGGGTCCCCTGAGCACTGTCAGGAATGATTCCTGAGTGCAGAGCCAGGAGGAACCCCCGAGCATCGCTGGGTGTGGCCCAAAACCAAAACATTTTTATTATTATTATTATTGGGTCCAGATCAGTAGTACAGAGGGGTGGGTATTAGCCTGGCATGCAGCTGACCCGGGTTCGATCCCCGGCATCCCATAGTGTCCCCCGAGCCCTGCCAGGAGTGATTCCTGAGTGCAGAGCCAGGAGTCAGCCCTGAGCACCGCTAGGTTGTCCCCCCCCCCAGTCCCCCTCATCCCCTACTCTCTCTCTCTTTTTTTTTGCTTTTCGGGTCACACCTGGCGATGCACAGGGGTTCCTCCTGGCTCTGCACTCAGGAGTTACCCCTGGCAGTGCTCAGGGGACCCTATGGGATGCCGAGGATCGAACCCGGGTCAGCCACGTGCAAGGCCAACGCCCTCCCCGCTGTGCTATCGCTCCAGCACCCTCCTCCCCCTCTCTTTCTGCCAAAACTATTTTGGCCTTCTCACACACTGAACACATTGTTGGTTCTTTGCATTTTTTTTTAAGGACTGGGACAACTATATATTTCTTTGGGTAGACACTGTGGGAGGAACTGCTTAAATATTCAGTCTACAAACATTTGCTGTGACCTACTTCTTTTCTCTCATGAGATGAAAAAGATCAGTTACGCTGAGGCTCTACTCAAACACTGTACACAAAGATTTTAGAAGAAAGGGCTGGAGCGATAGCACAGCAGGGAGGACGTTGGCCTGGCACGCGGCCGACCAGGGTTCGATCCCCGGCATCCCATAGGGTTCCCCGAGCACCGCCAGGAGTGATTCCTGAGTGCAGAGCCAGGAGTCAGCCCTGAGCATCGCCGGGTGGGACCCAAAAAGCAAAAAAAAAAAAAAAAAGATTTTAGAAGACAAGCTTCAATAAAGGAAGTCTGTCTGCACAGTTCATTACCTCTGACATTATGGTTTCTGTTCCATAAGAATGCCTGAAATTCCAAAGACAGAACTTGGAGGGGCTGGGTACAGCGGGGAGGGCGGCTGGCCTTGAACGTGGCCGACCCGGGCTCGATCCTGAATACCCCATAGGGTGTTCGGTCCCCCAAGCCCTGCCAGGAGTGATCCCTGAGCACAGAGTCACGAGTCAGCCTCGAGCACAGCCGGGTGTGGCCCCCAAACAAAACCCAACTCAGGGGGCCTAAGTAACGGCGCGGAAGGATTTGGACCCCAAGTCACACTCGAGAGCCCGCCTGGCGCCTCGCCCGTCCGCTGGTACCTGATAGTTCTGCAGCAGGATGAGACTGAGGTAGAACTCGCTGAAGGCCAGCTTGAGGTCCTTGATGTTCCTGTGCTGGACGCGCTCCTCGTGCGACAGGTGGAAGACCGGCTTTCGGCGCTGCCGCAGCGTGGTGACGCCCAGGCTCTCCTTCTGCGCGTCCAGGGACGACTGCAGCTCATTCTGGAGCGTCGCGAACCTGCGCTGGGCCTCGGCGAGCTTCTCTGGAAGGAAGCACAGAGCGGGCCCTCAGACTGCAAGGCGGGGCTGCGTTCGTGGTCACTTCATTTATTCATTTGCTTTTTGGGGTCCCACCCGGCGACGCTCAGGGGTTCCTCCTGGCTTTGCACTCAGGAATTACTCCCGGTGGTGCTCAGGGGACCCTATGGAATGCTGGGAATCGAACTCAGGTTGGCTGCGTGCAAGGTAAACGCCCTCCCCGCTGTGCTATCACTCCAGCCCCCTTATTTATTTATTTATTTATTTATTTTTACTTTTTTTGGGTCATACCCGGTGATGCACAGGCATGACTCCTGGTTCATGCACTCAGGAGTGACTCCTGGTGATGCTCGGGGGACCCTATGGGATGCTGGGAATCAACCTCCAGTCGGCCGCCTGCAAGGCAAACGCCCTCCCCGCTGTGCTATTGCTCCAGCCCCTATTTCGTTATTTTTTAATAAATGCAGGAGTACTGCTGTTTATTCAGTCATTGATTAAGCTGATTGAACCAGGCATGCACTCCGCATTACATTTTTTTTAAAAAATTGGATTACCGTGAGTTACAGTCACAAGCTTTCATGGTCGAGATTCAGCCATACAAAAAGGGGGTGGGGGGGTAGGGGAAGAGAAATAACGGGGCTTAAAATCCCAGCATGTCACCCATCCAGGTCTGACGGACGGGCACTGAAGGACGGCCCACGTTTCAGCAGCGTTTGCTGCATTCTGCTTCTTCAGTTTCTCCAGCATTTGTTTGGGGGAATTTCAAAGGCTTCAATCCAGACTTGGGACCGTCTACTAATCTGTGAGACTCGAGGCGTAAAGGCGTTGGTGGAGCCCAGCCCTGCAGCGGTTACAGCTTTCATGCGCCCCGGGATGGCAGGTCAACGGGCCAGTTTGCCTTGAGCTGGTTGGTGGTCACTAAGGAGAAAGGACCCTGTCTAGGACAGGCGGCAGATGCTGCATCTGTCGGTCATGTCTTCAGATTCTCCATCACTTCCTCCTCTGATCGAGGCATCAGTCTGGGCCAATTTATACTTACTTTGGGTTGATGTCAAGCTACACCCACATGGGCCTACACATCGAAAAGGGAAGCCGTAACTCCCACAACCCAATGAGAAGTGCAGGTACATGGATTCAGTGACAGCAACTCCAGGCCTCGAGGGAGAGGGGATGGGCCGGTCCCTCTCATCCCCAGTCCCCATGGGAACCTGGACGTCCCGCCACAAACTGCCTCGGCTGCAACTTAAACTCCTTAACAGCCATGATCCAGAGACACACAAAAGAATCTCCAAACCAAATAGCTCGCTGCAGAGATTTCTCCAGATCCTAATTATCTAAAATTTTAGAATTCCAGGAGCACGGGGCCACTCTTGCGGCCATGCGACATCTTATGCTATTCATACCAAGGAATACAAAAAGAGAGGGGAGACTGTCTACCATTGAGGCAGGAGGAGGGGTGGGATGGGGGGGCACTGGGGACCTTGGTGGTGGTAGATGTGCACTGGTGGAAGGTTGGGTGATTGATCATTGTGTGAATGGAACTCAAGGAGGAAAGCTTTGTAACTGTATCTCATGATGATTACAAAATAACAATAAACATTCTGGGCTGGAGGATAGCACAGCGGTAGGGCGTTCGCCTTGCACGCAGCCAACATGGCCGACCCGAGTTCGATTCCTCCGCCCCTCTCGGAGAGCCTGGCAAGCTACTGAGAGTATCTCACCCGCACGGCAAAGCCTGGCAAGCTCCCCATGACGTATTGGATATGCCAAACACAGTAACAACGAAGTCTCACAATGAAGACGTTACTGGGCCCACTCGAGAAAATCGATGAACAACGGGAGGACAGTGCCACAATAAACATTCTGAATAAAATAAAAAGTAATGTGGAGTTCATGCCCAATTCAATCAGCTTAATCAATGGCTGAATAAATAGCAGGACTCCTACATAGCACCATAGCACTGTCCTCCGTTGTTCATCGATTTGCTTGAGCGGGCACCAGTAACGTCTCCACTGTGAGACTTGTTACTCTATTCGGCATATTGAATACGTCACGGGTAGCTTGCCAGGCTTTGCCGTGCAGGTGGGATATTCTTGGTAGCTTGTTGGGCTCTCCAAGAGGGGCAGAGGAATTGAACCCGGGTCGGCGTGTGCAAGGCAAATGCCCTACCTGATGTGCTATTGCTTCACTCCTACATTAAGAAAAAAAAAAAAGAAGAAAAGGAAAGAAGAGGGAAGCCCCAACTTAATCCCATGCTCCCCATGACAGAAGCATGAGTTCTTGTCCGAAGGTGGCCAACGCGGTGCCACTTTCCAGACCAAAGACCATAACCTGCTTTGGAGGGTCACGAAAGGCATTAGCAGGTCGGCCAGCTCTGAGGAAGCAGAATAGAATGAACACAGAAAGTCAAAGTGAAGGAGTAAGACGAAACCACTTAAATAAACATTTACTCTATACTCAAGGATGCACAGCGCATATCTGTCTGTAACTTCTGTAACTAGTCCTTTATAATTAATGGTATTTCTTACTGTTAATCAAAGAGAATACATCTACTATTAACAATGTGTGTGTGTGTGCGTGTGTGTGTGTGTCTTCGTAGCCTCTATTGCAAAAGAGTATGTAGGAAATTGCCATAGAGGCAGGTGGAGGGGGTGTGGGGGGGTCACGGGGAGGAACACTTGGGGACATTGGTGGTGGAGAATGTGCACTGGAGGAGGGATGGGTGTTCGATCATTGTATGACTGAAACTCAATCACGAAAGCTTTGTAACTGCATCCCACAGTGATTCAATTAAAAAAAAAAAGAAAAAAAGCAGCAGCATCTATTCCTTGGAACCTCAACGACCCTCTAAGAGAGTTTGGCTCAGGCATTTCCCCAAAAATCAGAGAGGAAAAACCCAAACTCGGCCTTCTATGGTTTTCGCTATGGCTGTAGGTCAGAGCCAGCAGCCTCTTCCCTGCTGCTGTGATGACCTGGCCGCCCCTCTCCCCTCCCCCTCCTCCCCTGTGACCACCCTTTCCTTCCGGTCCACATCCCTGGGTCTCCTTTGTCCTCGTGCCTCTTAGCCGTGGAAATTATGTTTGTCCTGGGAAACGGCAATCCCTCCTGGGCGTTTTTATTATTTTTTTTTTTTTGCTCACTGACAAGCCCTCCACTTGCACGATCTCCAACGTTTCCCCTCGCGTGCCGCTCTCGTCAAGACCAACGGTTATCTCAGCTGAGAAGTACAGCCACGGGTGGAGAGGAGGAGGACCAGGAGTTGCGTGCTTGCTTTTTGGGTGTGGGGGATAATTTGCTCATTTGGGGGGATAATTTGCTCATTTCCAACCAAAAGAGAAATGAGAGATACGTTGCTTCGACCATTCTTTTTTTAATTTTTTTTAGCCACACCTGAGGCTGCTCAGGGATTCCTCCCAGCTCTGCACTCAGGGATCACTCGTGATGGTGTCTGGGGGACCCTATGGGATGCTGGGAACAGGACCTGGGTCACCCACGTGCAAGGCCAGCGCCCTTCCGACTGCACTATCGCTCCGGCCCTGAATTTTAATCTTCAGCTGGACTGATCGTGTATGGTCCGTTTTAAGAAGGGGAAAAGGAACTCAGCAGTGGGTCTTCGCTCTGGTCTGCTCTGCAATTTCTTTTGTTTCAGCTGTTGTGAGAACCAGGGGTGCAAGCATGATGATGGTGAAAGTCTGCAGTTAGGGTCTCACTAGGCAGGAAAGGTGTGAGACACTGAGGGTAGAGACCAAAAGTACCTCAGGAAGGTGTGGGATGCCAAGGGCAAAGGAACTGAAAGTACTTCAGGAAGGTGTGGAATGCTGAGGGCAAAAGAACTGAAAGTACCTCAGGAAGGTGTGGGCAAAGCAACAGAAACTACCTCAGGAAAGTGTGAGATGCTGCGGGCAAAGGAACTGAAAGTACCTCAGGAAGGTGTGGGATGCTGAGGGCAAAGGAACTGAAAGTACCTCAGGAAGGTGTGGGCAAAGGAACTGAAAGTACCTCAGGAAGGTGTGGGCTAAGGAACTGAAAGTACCTCAGGAAGGTGTGGGCAAAGGAACTGAAAGTACCTCAGGAAGGTGTGGGATGCTGAGGGCAAAGGAACTGAAAGTACCTCAGGAAGGTGTGGGATGCTGAGGGCAAAGGAACTGAAAGTACCTCAGGAAGGTGTGGGCTAAGGAACTGAAAGTACCTCAGGAAGGTGTGAAATTCCGGGGGGTGGGGAGGGGCAAAAGGACTGAAAGTATACAAGGGACATTAAGGTGAAAATTCTTGATGGCAGGGGCCAGACCGTTAGGACAATGGGGTGGGCATGTGCCTTGCATGCACTGACCAGGGTTCAATTCCGCACCCAATATAGTCAAGTCCACTGGGAGTGAGCCCCAATCTCTGCTGGTGTGGCCCCCAAACCAATCAACCCGAGGGCAGGGCAGTCACTCCAGGAGTGGCCTGTTAACTGCAATAGAGGAAGGATGTCAAGAAATTGAATTCCTGAAGATGAAAACACAGACATTAAGGGGGGGGGGGAGGAATATTTTTAAAAGGTCAAATTTCAGCAGGAATTCTCGTGTTTGCTTCTCAACGCAGGGCAACCTGTAGCCATCCAGACAGAGACGAGAGCTAAGTGCTCAGAGAAGGCGTCACGCCAGGTCCCAAGCCAATGGCATCTCTAAGGAGGGCAGTGAAATAAACTGACTGACTTTTCCCAGCTTAGCTGCTGTCAACAAGGTCTAGGAATCCTCCCTGCTGAGGGAACCGAAGCAGTGACCGCTTCCGGCTTCCTCGGGGAGCTGGGACGTGTCCCTACCCCATCACAGGAGACAGACAGGGGCCCCGCACCCAAGGTCCAAGTCCCAAATGTTGATCAGAAGCTTCCCCGGGGACAGTTTCCCCTCCCCAGACCTGCTCACCTGAATAAAAAGTGTTGATTTTGGCAAGTTCCTTTTCACAGGTTTGGAAAAATTTCTCTTCAAACTTGGCAAAATACCTCTTGACTGTGTCCTCGTCTGTAACTAGAAGCAAAGAAAACAATATTTAATAACAGAAGGTCACTGAAGGAAATGGGAAAAATAAAATTCAGGTCCTTTCTGAAGACTAAAATGGTCACAATGTACATCTTTGAATGAGACTCTCTCTAAAGCAACTTCACCAAAGTTGCAGTGGTGGAGAAAAACATTCTTAGACTTTTTACAAGAGAAAGACAGTGTAGCAGACTCAAGGGGTCTGAAACAGGTAGAAGTTGGCAAAAGTAAATCATGGAATATTTCAGGGAAGGACAAAAAAAAAAACTCAACAGCCAAGGAAGACATGAATTCAACAGTTTTGGGGAGAAAGGAACCACTGCAACTATTAAATTGTGCCTACTCATTTCTACGTCAGCTACGCAGGACTGATTGTCACCAGCAGGATATTCTCAGTTTTCTGGCGCTGGAAGAAAGCCAAAGGGTGAGGGGATCCCTGGGGCACTGGAGTGGGGTCTGGAAAGTTGGGGGAATGGGGGGGGCGGGTGTCCACCAGGTAGCAGTTGCAGGTGGGGTGGGATATGTTATCAGGTCACCCAAATTTTCAAAATATCCTACAGCCTCTTTTTATTTTATTTATGTATTTTATTTTTTCTTTTCGGGTCACACCTGGCGACGCACAGGGGTTACTCCTGGCTCTGCACTCAGGAATCATCCCTGGCAGTGCTCAGGGGACCATATGGGATGCTGGGAATCGAACCCGGGTTGGCTGCGTGCAAGGCAAATGCCCCACCCACTGTGCTATTGCTCCAGCCCCTATTTTATTTTATTTTTAAAATTAAAGTATCACGGGGCCAGAGAGATAGTATACCAGGTAAGGAGCTCGCCTTGCACACGGCCGGCCTGGGTTCAATCCCAGCACCTCATCCTGTCCCCTGAGGACCACCAGAAGTGACCCCTGAGCACAGAGCCCTGGGTACCACAGGTTATGGCCCCCAAACCAAACCCCCGCTCCCCCAACCACTGAGGCAGTTTCCAACAGTGCTGAAGTCATTCTTGTACTGCTACAGAGAACTACATCAATCCCTTCACCAGTGTCCAAACATCCCTTCGCCATTTCCCCGTGCCCCCTCCTCCCCCAGGCCCCAGTTCTACTGATCGTCCTATTTCACAGAAACAACTCAAATGTATGAAACGACAGTTTTTATTTCTATGTGCCCACTTCACTATGTCTTCCGCTTCAGAACCCAGAAGGCGGACACGGAACTGTACTGATTCTGCAGGCGGGGAAGACGTGCGCTTTCCTCCCCCAAAGATCAGCAACCCAGGCACACCGGGTCCAGCTGGGGATAAGTTAAGAGTAGTAGTAGCTTACTCAAATTACCTACTCAGACTTTTCACACATTCCATTCTGCTGTGTTCTTAGGAAAGAGAATCCCGAATTTACCTGTATTTATTTGTTTCCCAATGAACTTTGAGTAACACAAAATAACAGGATTAAACTTGTGTAGCAAAATGATTTAAAGACAGTCTCTGCTTTTTTTATTTTTTGGTTACACGTGCTGACGTTTAGAGAGGTTACTCTGGCTCGGCACTCAGGAATCACTCCTGGCGGTGCTTGGGGAACCACACGGGATGCTCGGGACTGAATGTGGGTCTGCTGCATGCAAGGCAAACGCCCTCCCGGCAGGACTACTGCTCCAGCCCCAAGACAGCCTCTGCTTTAAAAAAAAAAATCTCTAACATAACAATGACATAAATGATATAATAAAGAAGTTGCATATTCAGAAACACCAGCTATTTTATTTTTAAATTTTTAAATTGTTTTTTTTTTTTCTTTTTGGTTCACACCTGGTGATGCACAAGATTATTCCTGGCTCTATACTCAGGAATTATTCCTGGCGGTCCTCGGGGGACCCTATGGGATACTGGGAATCGAATCCGGGTTGGCCGTGTATGGGGCAAACGCCCTCCCTGCTGTGCTATCACTCCAGCCCCAACACCAGCTATTTTAAATATTGACAAGGATCTAGAAAGAAAAAAAAACGAAGCCTTTGAGAATCTAAGACATAGGTAATAAATTTTATGTATTACTGTCCAAACTTTCTACCCATGATTCAATCTCATAAACTCGTCATATCCTTAATTTAGACTCTTTCCTCTAAAATATCAACAGTCTGTTATCTACACTTCTGGGAAGGGAGGAGGAACGAGAACATACATAAACAAAAACAGCAACAACAGTTGCATGTAGTAAATTAAACAGAAATGTCCTCATCCTTGCAGATTTAGACAGACACAACAATCTAACTGGAAGTACAGAACAGTACATAATGGATAAAAGAATTAAAAAAAACACAATAAGGACCAGAGCAATAGCACAGCGGGGAGGGCATTTGCCTTGCACGCAGTTGACCTGGGTTCGATCCCCGGCATGCAGAGCCAGGAGGAACCCCTGAGTACTGCTGGGTGTGACCCCAAAAGCAAAAACCAAACCCAAATCGCTCTGGCCCTACAAGGATGATTTTTGTAAATGGACACAACTGCTCCTTCCCTAGGAGAGAGTACTAGGAAGCCTGCAGGAAGACAGGCCAGGCCGCCCCTCCAAGAACTTGCCGTGTTCAGTCTCATTTCTAAGAAAGAGCTTCCTCGTTATTTGCAAGGATAATCATGTACCGATTGTTTTTTAAAATGATTAAAAAAAAAGTGATGTTCAGCACAAGGGAACCAGTGCGAATAAATTACAATAATATCACAAAACACTATGTCCCCATTCAAAATGTGATGTGCGTTGTACGTATGGATATTTTCTAAGACACACTGCGGGGGCGGGAGGAGGGGAGAATTTAAATGGCAGAATATATGCAGGCTGATCACACTTATGAAAAATGTGCATAAATTAATATTCCTAAGTACAATTACGAGGAGAACCGGGAGGACGCTAATTATGGCTCCCTTCTCCTCCTGGAGCAGCCCGAGGGGGAAGCTCTCAGCTCATTCTCTTCACAGACTGTAGCACTGTAGCGCTGTCCTCCCGCTGTCCATCGATTTGCTCGAGTGGGCACCAGTAACGTCTTCATTGTGAGACTTGTTGTTACTGTGTTTGGCATAGTCTCTGAGTCTATAAAAACCAGCTCCCGGAAGAGAACAGTGCAGTCTCCTGCCTCTGCATCTGGCTGTCCTCACCGGGCCCCTTGGAGGGGAGCGGGTTGAGCTTTCCTCCCCGCCCCGACCAGGGCTCCGGCAGCCGAAGACCTCCAGGACCAGCCACCACCATGCTGAGACCACTCTCCGCACACCTGAAGGTACTGGCAGAGGGACAAAGCCACGCGGGTCCCGGGGCCGAGATCTCCAAGCCTACTCGGATTGGGGCCGAGCATCCTCCACCCAGATCCTCCAAATTCCAGTAGGCGGGGGTCACACCCACCAACTGGCCCCCTGGCACCGTGTAATCCCATCAGCGGCCAAGACTCAGAGACTATAAAAACCAGCTCCTGGAACCGCGCGGCTGCATTTGCGGCCGCACAACATCTTATTATAACATCTTATTATCTCATTCCTACTTTGGACAAACTGGCAGGCTACCGAATGTAGCCTGCCCACATGGCAGAGTCTGGCAAACTCCCCGTGGCGTACCCAATATGCCAAATACCAGTAACAATGATGGGTCTCATTCTCCCAAAGAGCCTTGAATATAATCTCAGGGCTAGGATGAAGGAGACGTTACTGGGGCCTGCTCGAGGCAATCGACGAATAACAGGATGATTTGTGTGTGTGTTGTGTGTGTTTGGCATATCGAATACGTCATGGGTAGCTTGCCAGGTTTTGCCATGCGGGCATGTGGGCAAGGTACTCTCAGTAGCTGGCCGGGCTCTCCAAGAGGGAGGAATCGAACCTGGGTCAGCCGGGTCGGCCCAGTGCAAGGCAAACGCCCTACCTGCTGTGCTACTGCTCCAGCCCCTCCTCTGTCCTCGGAAAACAGCACAAAGGACCAATTAAACTGTGGAAATAAAAGGTATTGCCAAGCTAGAAGGAAAAAAGTCAACACGTCACATCTAAGTCCTTACATTATGCATTTTCAAAGCCTACCAACAGAGGCTGGGGGTATGGTGACATCCAGCAGGTCACCCTGTACCCGCGGGGCGAGTGCATCAGCAGCCTGATGGTGCCTTCAGGTTTCTGGGTACCCCAAAACTGCCGCTGAGCCTCTGGCTGAACCCTATCAACTTGGAACCAAGTTTCCCAAGAAATTAAATGGCCAAGAATCAGGTATGTGGGCGCCAAGCCCACAAACCACCTCCGGCTCAGTCATACAAGCTCACTGACGGGCCTCGCTTCAGAGACCCATAACCATAACACCCAAAAGCGGAGAAAGAGTAAGAAGGAAGCGGGTGGGGGTGGTGGGAGGGATACTGGGGACCTTGGTGGTGGGGAACGTGCCCTGGTGGAGGGATGGGGGTTCCATCATTGTATGACTGAAACACAATCGTGAAGGTTTTGTAACTATCTCACGGTGATTCAATTTAAAAAGAAAATGTATAAGAAGAAAGAGCTAACCAACAGAGGGGCTGGGGATGGAGCTCGCTGGTAAAGAACGTGTGTGCCTAAGGCCTGGGTTTGAACACTGGCACCACTGAGAGAAAAAGGGGGCGGGGGGAGTTAGGGGTGAGTGAGCAGACTACAGGGGCTGAGCACTTGCTTTCCAAGCTGGAGGTCTGAGTTTGATCCCTGAGCGCTGCCAGGTGACCAACCCTTGAGCAGAGAGCTGGGGGCCAATTCCTGCCCCCCACTTCAAATACCACACAAGGAGGAGCACAGTCTCAGCCAGCTAGAAAGAGTATCTTGGGACCCTTAAGACAGTGTGGGGGAGGGGCACGTGCAGGGTGTGAGGCCAACTCTGCTCGAACCCTGGCACCAACCCGCCACCCCTAGAGGACCACCAATGCCTTCACGTTAACTGACCAACCCAGGGGCAGGGAATCCCAGAAGGGTCCCCAGGTCTCCCGAGGGCCACCTGGAGATCCCCAAATTAAAAGGATGAATGTGGAAAC